TGTTCATCCAGCTCTACACCTTGTTGTCTCTGCTTATTTTTTTCTCCTTGCTTTCAAAAAAATATTCCTTGATAAATTTAGCAGAAGAAGCTGAAGCAGTTTGTTACAACTAAAATGGATTTAGTACAGGAAACAGTATTTAACCAAGAGGGTTTTTGCCATCCTCAAGTAATCTAATTTTAAACAACTGGAAATAACAGCACAACATTGTCACATTGATAAAGTCATCTGGGGGAGGCGGGGGGCAACTAATTTAGTGGGTGAGAGTGGCTTCACTGCGATGCTTACAAATCACAAAAGGCTTCAGGAACTCGATTTGCACTGGACGTATCTGTATTTGAAAGACCTTGTTCTAATTTGGTCAATTTTAGACATGTTCCACGAGAAAATCTGCACAGCATGTGAACTTAACCTCAAAAACTTTATAGACCGTTCTTGTCTTTGCATCATTTTGATAAAGGAAAGTCACTAAACCAGTGGTGATGGGCTGATTCCCACTGTTTCTAGCCCTCCATCCACAGACCATGTTGCCTTAGCTGAAATTTACCACCTTTTCAAGGGCAACAAATGCTAGCCCAGCCAGAGAAACCAACATCCCATGTATGAATAAATCAAAAAGTTTGTGCATGAGGTAGAAGTGTTGACCAGGATCCCAAAAGAACTTTCTGTTCCTCCAACAAGATCTTAGCCAAGCAGGTTATCATGTTTAACAATCTTATCTAAATGACTTATCACATCCTACAGGTATGCAATGGTGTGCGAGCTGAAAGCGGATTTGCAAAATGGGCTTAGCACACAATTTTCTGTCCAGAAGTAAGCCTTCTACAAAACAAACTATAGGAACAGTGTTGAGAATAGTCAAAAACAAAATATGCTGTACAGGATTGTGATGACTTTTATAAACCTCTAAAAGGTCACCCCTCAGCCTCCGACGCTCCAGGAAAAATAGCCCCAGCCTGTTCAGCCTTTCCCTATAGCTTAAACCCTCCAACCTTAGCAACACTTTTGTAGATCTTTTCTGAACACTTTCTAGTTTCACAACATCCTTCCTATAGTGGGAGACCAGAATTCAGTGCAGTATTCTAATTCATAAAATGTTTGTGAATAACGTGCATTACAGAATAAAAGAAAAAAATGTGCTGTCAGTTTCAGTACATGGAATATTGAAATCCAAAAACTGTACATATTGAAAAACCAGGAAAAGACAGGAATTTATTTCTGTCCTTCATTGGCAGTTTAAAATTATCTCAAGTTTGGTTCCGTTTCTCAAAAATAAATGTACAAGTATGATACCCTGACTCAGAGAAATTTCCTTCGCACCTGTCTGAGGGATTCCTCCTCTTCATCAGCCAGCGGAGTATTTTCATCGTAATCCAGCATTCGGTCGTAACTATGAATGTTGTACTCTTCCCATGTAACAACTCCGTTACCATCCAGGTCATGCTCTGGAAACTGTTCTTTGCTCTCCTCTGTGGCATAATGTTTAAAGGACTGCTGGATCCATCCACTGAGTTCAGCTGTGACAAACAAGTGTGACTTTAAAAAAAAAATTCATTCATGGGATGAGGGTGTCGCTGGCTAGGCCTGCATTTATTGCTCATCTCTAATTTGAGTCAACCACATTGCTGTGGGTCTGGAGTCACATGTAGGCCAGACGAGGTAAGGATGGCAGTTTCCTTCCCTAAAGGACATTAATGAACCAGATGGGTTTTTACAACAATTAACAACAGATCATTAGACCCTTAATTCCAGATTTTTCTTTCATTGAATTCAAATTCCAACATCTGCCGTGGCAGGATTCTAACCCGGGTCCCTAGACCATTACCTGGGTCCACCAATAATACCATTAGGCTGTCACCTCCCCTACAAAGATAGTGCAGCTTTCCTATTTCCAGTGAGCTGTCATATTTTACAAAGATTAATTATATTAATAAATAACAACCAACTGTACAATTTTCCTTTTTGCTGGCTTACAAGATAGCTGTCCTTTCATTTTAGGATAAGAAGTCATTTGTCATTTTTAAAAAATTTGTTTAGCATCTCACAACAATGGAAGTGTTCCTGTGCTAATCAGTTGGGCGTATATATAGTGTTGCACCTGATATAATTATCATTTATATATAATTACAACATGCTGGACTCTCATTCTATACAGATAAAAGTACAGGCAAGATAAGAAAAAAGTTAAATGTATAACGAAACAAGGTTTGAGGATATTTGCTTAAATTTTAACTTTAGATTAAATTTTAACTAAGATTCAGCTGTGACTTGTGGTTTTCAAAAGAACACTATATGCAAGAATGTGAAAGCAGAGTTATTTGTTTGTTCTGACCAATGCTAGGTAACATCATGTGAACAGGCTAGATTCACCAATGATAATTCCCGGCTACCACAAAATCATTTCAAGTGAGTTCTGTGATGTAAATGAAAATTAAGAAATAACTGCAGCAAGGTACTGTTTTAAACATGAGCTCGATTCTGCAGGGAACAGCAAGTCAAGTTCAGTCATTTTAGCACATTATAGAACTAATACCTAAAGTGCTTCTCACCTTTGGTTACAAAGCCATCTGCATCCAAATCCATCTTCTTGATGAGGGTTTTGAGCCGAGCTTGTTGTTCCTCAGGGCTCAGCTTAGCGAGCTCCCCAACTTCTTTCTGAGAAATAGAATGATCATGTAAATGTTCATTTGATGTTGGCTCAATGTTCTCTAATCCTTCATCTATGAATGCAAGTAAGAACAAATCCATCTGAAGCCCATCTAGGCACACAAATAACCTACACCTGTACTTCATACAAGTAGTATACAGCTTTTATAAGATTGAAGTTAACATTAGTTTGGTCATCAGTACCAGCAACTATTGTGTATGAAAAATAAAACCGAAACACGGAAGGAAACTGTTTAGGTACAGATCTGAAAATCAGAAAATACTCCAAAGTGATGCATTGGAGTAATTCTTGGCTAGTTTTAACACCAGAGAAAGTTATTTTGGGTAGCCTTTTTGAGATCAGTGATTATTGTGATAGTATTCCATAAAACCACACAATTGCATCTTTAACTGGCCTAACTTTCAGGGTCTTTTTGTAGAAATAGAGACAATACTGTCAAAATCATATTTACTGTTCATTCCTAACTGTCATACTTGCTGTGCCACTTTTGATGATATTCTGAATCAATCACATTGTATGAAACTAGGGACTACATGTATATTAAATCAGGTAGGCTTCTCTAACATACCTAGTATTCTGAATAGCTCTCCTAGAAAAGATTTAACACAGCATAATTCTGCTCAGCTTCTGAGATCAAACAGGACTGAGATTTTGCATTGCAATGTTGAGGTTGGCTGCGGTGAGATTTATACTATAATTACTGCACTAATGCATGCTAACCACATGTGGTTATTTGTTATGTTGCACTTTAAATTGTACTACATCTATATCCATCCTGGTTAAAAAAAATCAGATATTTAATGAAAGATTACAGATGAAATCTGAATAGGGGTTTTTTTTTATACTCACTCATTGAACGTGGGTGATCCTGGCTGGCCAGTATATATTGTCTATCCCTAGTTGCCCTTGAGAAGGTGGTGGTGAGCTGCCTTCTTGAACTGCTGCAGCCCATGTGTTGTAGGTAGACCCACAATGTCCTTATGGAGGGAATGCCAGGAATTTGAAGGACAATAAAGGAATGGCGATGTATTTTCAAGTCAGGATGGTGTGCGGCTTTGGAGGGAAACCTGCAGGTGGAGGTGTTGCCATGGATCTTCTGCCCTTGTCCATCTCAATGGAAGCGGTTGTCTGTTTGGAAGGTACTGTCTAAGGATTTTTGGTAAATTTCTTCAGCGTATCATGTAGATAGTATTCACTGCTGCTACAGACCATTGGTAATGGAGGGAGTGAATGCCAATCAAGCAGGCTGCTTTGTCCTGAATGGTGTCAAGCTTCTTGAGTATTGTTGGAGCTGCACTCATCCAAGTAAATGGGAAATATTCCATCACACTTCTGACTTGTGTCTTGTATATGGCAAACAGGTTTTTGGGAGTCAGGTGATGAGTTACTCGCCACAGTATTCCCAGCGCCTGACCCTGTATTGTAGCCACTGTATTTATATGGGGTGTCCAGTTGAGTTTCTGGCCAATGGTAACCTCCAGGATATTGACAGCAGGGGATTCGGTGGTAGTAACACCAATGAGGGTAAAGGCGTGGTCATCAGATTGTCTCTTATTGGAGATGGTCATTGCCTGGTATTTGTGTGGTGCAAATGTTACTTGCACTTGTCAGCCAAGCCTGGATACTGCCCAGAACTTGTTTTATTTGAACATGGATTGCTTCAATATTTGAGGAGTTGCAAATGATGAAGGACGTGCAAACACCAAATCATCGGTGAACATCCCCACTTCTGACCTTATGATAGAAGGAAGGTCATTGATGAAGCAGCTGAAGAAGATTTGTCCTAGGTCACTTCCTGAAGGAACTCCTGTATTCTCTTTAAATTCTTATTTTAATTCTCCATTGATTACCAAAACAAAACACATGCCATGCCACAATCTAAGGCATCCTAAAGCTAAGTACGGTGTGATCTGTTTACATCTCTATATTGTTAATCAAGTTACAGAGTGTCAATTATTTTGTTTTCACATTTTGCCCTTCAATAATTTTAGTTTTCATCTTTTCAAACAATCCTTTGATGAACTGATGAGAACTTCCCCTCTTACTATCAGTCTTGTTGTTGAAACTCGAGAAGGTTACATCTTTCTGTACATGTAATTGAGATTTTAACAGTGTACTAACTTAATAATTACAGCTGAACACAGATGCCCAAAAAGCTGATTTCTTATTTAAGGAATGTCAAATTACTCTATGATGATAAAAAAAATCTACTTTTTAATATAAGAAAAATCAACTTTTTTAACCTTTTTGTAAGTTTCTGACTTAAACCAACCTTACTTTATATCTCTTATCGGAGATGGTCATTGCCTGGTATTTGTGTGGTGCAAATGTTACTTGCA